AGGGAAAGCAATGAAATACAACAAAGCAATAAAAAATTGTGGATGAGATTTCAAGGTGACGATAGTAAAGAAATTTCTGTCAAGGAAATTTTTAATTAGTTACAAATTTTAAAAAGATGCAAGATGAGATTAATGTAAATATTCTGGAAAAGGAGAGGAGATAGGGGAGGGTGGGAGGGAGTGAGATCATGACACACAAAGGAGACTTGCTTACATGTAAGTGCAGAGATATCCTGTAGAATCCTGCAGTATTTACTAGACTGAAATGTCCAGTAAAGGTAATGATCTAGTCTGGTAGACACTGAATGTTTTCCAGACAGAAGTTCTATAAGGAAAATTGATATTTTCAGTGGTCTGCTTCGATAATCATCTCATGAAGTAGTGCTTTCTTGTGCAATAGATTGATCAATCAATATTTGAAAGAGTTATTGTCCTTTTCTTCAGAATTCTAATCTTTTCCAGATCTTTACTTTCTTAGTTTTCAGCCACATCTCTTTGATGCTTGGTAGACTTCAATCATCAGAACACTTAGCTGTGTTTTCAAAAGCAGCATTTTGTTAGTACAATTCTTGCCAGAGTTATGGCCCTTTGTGTATTCAACAGTCTGATTTTGTCCTGAGATGATTCTCTGCTTCAGTTTCAGCTCACCTGTCATGTGTCCAGCATTAACTTCTTCTCAATTACCAATCGGCCAAATGTTATCATATTTGTCTTATAGATTCCTAGGATGAAGCCTGACAAAGTTTGTGAAAAGGAATGGCCTTGACCCATATTTAAATTCACAGGGGTCAAATTTGTTTAAACATTTAAACAGCTTCTTCTGCCTAACAAAAATGTACAGGGGCATGTTATTTGGAAGAAAGGTTCCAAGGATGAAACCTGGCATAGTTTGTAAAAAGAAATGATCTTGACCCATATTCAAAGTCACAGGGGTCAAATTTGTAAAAACCTTAAAACAACTTCTTCTAACTAACCAGAAGTCCCAGAATTATGGTGTTTGACTGATTGGTTCTGCATATTTTTAAAAATAACTTCTTTCAAGCTTGGTTGATTTTATTGGCATGAAAGATGTAAACATGCTACTTTTTAAGCAGCATTTTGATTGGACAATTTTTATGCATTAGTGTAATGAATTGTTCCAGCCACAGAGTGCCTAAAATAATAAATAATAACCATAAATCAGAATATTTTTGTTCTGTGGAATTTGTGCGAAATCTCCAAAATGTACTTTTACAATTTTTTTGTAATTCATTTTTTGCAATATCATCGTCTCAGAAATTTGAAAGGCCTGTTTTGAAGACTTTAAATACTACGGAATAGACATAGCTTACACTGTAGATTAGTGGAGATCTAACTGACCAGTTATAGATATGTTGAGATTTGTATACTGACTGGTATTTGTTTATTTATTATGCTCCCCGAAGGGAGAGCATATAGTTGCCACTTTGTCCGTAGGTCCGTCATGATTTTCTTCTAAACATTACACTAAAACTATAAGAGGTATCAACATGAAACTTCATAGGTAGATAAATCTCAACAAGAAGTGCAGTGCACAAGAACCATCCTTCTCTTTTGTGTATTATTTAGGAGTTGTTGCCCTTTGTTATTTTTCATACTTGAATTTTGTTCAGAGCATTACACTAATACTGGTATAACCATGAAACTTCATAGGTAGATAGATCTCAATAAGGAATAGTGTAATGCACAAGAACAATCACTTTCTTTAACATTATTTATGAGTTGTTGCCCTTTGTTATTTTTCATACTTGAATTTTGTTCAGAGCATTACTCTAAAACTATAAAAGGTAATACCATGAAATTTCATAGGTAGATAGATCTCAAAAAGGAGTAGGGCAGTGTACAGAAATCCTCTCTTATCACCCTTTATTTTTCATACTTAAATTTTGTCCCAATTGGGGAGCAATCAAAATATAACCTGTCTCTGATGTCCCTTGTTTATAACGTATGTATTCACGACTAAAAAGTGTTCAGGTGTATGTAGGTACATCAGTTCTATAAATGTATTACTTATCATGAACAATTAGAAGAAGAAAACATGCAAATTTCTCATGTTATATTTTTAACAGTTTTGAAAGGGTTGTCAAATTTGTAAAAGATAGGTACTCTCCAAAATTTCCCTATATACAATATTCCATATATACAAATCATTATTGTTAATCTGTAGAATCAACTGTTCAATAAGGAGCAATATCTTATATAAAAGATGTTTTTTTTTCTACTTTGGTTATTGTTATTTTGAAATATTAGTTACCCTAAACACGAGAAAACAAGGTCTTTCTAACTCTTCAGTTCTAGCTTGGCTGATCAGTGATGTTATTTACACATTTTCTTTTTAGTTGTAACAGAAAACTAAATTAAATCCAACAGCAAAGCTGTTGTCCTAGAAGGTGTAGGGGTTTGTCAATTTGGGATAGAAAATCCTGACATATATGGATCTATTTAGGTGTGTTTGTATAATGAATTAGTTTCCAACGTTGAATGTTTCTCCACACACAAGATGGAAGATTAGCATGTTTTTCTTATTCAATTATTTGCTGGAAATGATCTGGTTTAGTGTGAAGGTCTCAGCTGTTGCTGACAAAACCAAATCAATTTTCTTCCATCTGCAAAATATACAGGTTTTGAGATAGATTGAAGACTGTACAGGTAGTTTATCTTTAGGCTGAGGTGTATGTACATGTTTGTAGCACAATGCGTGGGTGTTATTCTACTCTTAAGGCCTCAACTAATCACAGAAAATTGTTGCATAAACTATTTTTTGTACCACACATATGGAATAAACTATAAAAGCATTTTGATTGACTGACATGGTGAACTTTGACCCAGAAGGGCCAAACTTGTCAGCCAATCATCATCCCACAGTAGATTCACTCTTGCACATCAGTGACAAGGTGTATCTTGTGTATATTTTTTTCTAAAATCTTTTTACCATATTGTTATACTGTTTGCTACCATAGTGTACACTGAGTTAAAGTACAGATGAAAAAGTTGGTCATTTCCTTATCATCTCTTACACTACATCTAAATCTAGAACATCCCACACTGGTCATTTGTCTGATGAAGGTGATTTTGTAGCCATCGAAAAGTCACACGCTAATCTGGTGTGTTATTAGAACTTCTATTTTACTCATGTTTGTCAACTTAAGAATCTTATTCCTTCGGTTGAGATCACCCTATTGAGCCTCTGAAAAGGTGAAAGGTTATTAATCATGATGGTAAGTGGCAGTCATTTATGAACAAAAGCTATATGTAGGTCATACTTACATGATTCCTTAGATTTTATGAGAGATGTAAAGTAAAGTGATTTTTTTCTGTGTTTTATCATCTTTAACATATAGAATAATTTCCCTAGTGGGAATACATTCATCACATATTTCACTCAATGTACAATTTCAAGAAGCTCATGAAATAACTCTTGAATTTATAGGTAGAAAGGGACTACATCAAGGTCGAGTGGTATATGAAGTAAGCAGAGTACAAATAAGTGTGATAAAAAAAATGGCTTACTTAAGATATGGTATAAAAAGTTTAGGTCTGTAGCTGATTAAAATATATTGATTTTGACAGACTTTGTGTGTTAGTGTTATATTAAATCAGTATTCACCACTGGAAATACTGAGTAATGACACCTTGCATACTGTACAGGAATCTTTTTCTGATTTTTTTCCCTTTTACATGCTTCTTGTGGAAGTAAATGAAAGATAGTTTCAAAATGTGTTGTAGATTAGTTTGTAGTTTAAAACTCAACATGATGAAAGTCTGGTTTTCAATTTTTTTCAATCTGCATGTTTTTGAATGATAATGTAAAGTTTTGCTAAAGTTCTACTTTACACTGTTAGGAACATACCCAGTATTTTTATATATCATCAGACATACATCTATTTGTTTTTATAAAAGTACAGAAGTGACTATAGTTTCTAGTTTCCTAACCCCAGGCTTACTATATGTGTGTGGACTGGGTATTTAGCTCACCTGGCCTGAATGGCCAGGTCAGTTTATAACATGGCACAGCGTCTGTCGTCCGTTCATGTATATGGCATCAACTTTTCCATTCAATTCTCAATAACCCACTGACCAAATGACATGGTATTTTGCTAATTGGTTTCTGAGATGGAGCCTCACAAAGTTTACAAAAGAAATGATCTTGACCCATGTTCAATGTCAAAGGGATTAAATTTGTTTGAAAATTGAAGCAACATCTTCTGACTAACCAAAAGGTGCAGAACATGATATGTAGATGATAGCTTCCTAAGATGATGCCTGACAAAATTTGCCAAATGTAATGACCTTCAAATTTATGCAAGATCACAGGGTTCAAATTTGTTAAAACCTTAAAACAACTTTTTCTGACAAACTAAATGGACAAAGTCAGACATGGTTTGTGGAAAGAAATGACCTTGACCCTTGTTTAAGGTCAAATGGGTCAGATTTGTTAAAATGCATGACAAAGTTGGCAAAAAGAAATCAATTAAACCCTTATTCAAGGTCACAGTCTAGTTAAAACTTGTTAAAATCTTAAAATAATTTCTTCTATCTAACCAAAATGCGCAGAAGCAAAATATTTCAACTGATAGATTCCTAGGATGCTTACTGACAACATTTGCAAAAAGGAATGACTTTAATTTTTATTGAAGGTCACAGGAATCGTTTTTTTCAAACATGTAAATGATTTCTAATCATAAACCAAAAGCCCAACAAGCATGGAATGGAGTGGAACAATGTTTCCAGGTCACAGCCCAACAATTTTGTTTTTTATTAAGGGACATTATGGTCAAAAATATCAATTTTGTTACTGGTTTTATACACTTTCAGTTATGATTCTATGCTTTCCTGATACTCACATTCGATTTCCAATGATCAGCTTGACTGCTGCAAATTTAATGCCAGTAATGTAATTGTGTGGTTTTTATGCGTGGTCGGTAAATAACATCTGAACAAAAAATAGAAATTGATTCATGTTCCAATTTTTTTATTTCCAGAAAAAGCCACTCTTGAGGAGACGGAACGAACACTGTATGCCTTAAAGAAATTAGCTCAGAATCCAGAATGTACCTCGTCCCTCGTAGATGGACTAGCCAATTACATGCGGATTATTGTCACCGTGACGGACAGCTCAGAGTGTCCAGCCATCGAAAAAGCAATCAGCGAACTGCTAAATCAAATTCTGCAGGTGAATGCACTAGAATGGTTAACACTTAAGGCAGCATCAGTGTTTATCATTATACAGGGCAATCAAGGGTTGTTATTGTTTTGAGGGGGTGACACCAGTTAACAACTGAAATAATTTCTGTAAAAAATTAAGCTAAAGATATGGATTACATTTCCATCATTCATCCTTTGATTATTATTTTTTTTGTACCCCAACTTCCTCTCAGTGAGCAAGAAGATGGACATTTTCTGGAGTTGAAAGATTTAGAATCATCAAATAACTTCTTATTTAGTACCAAAGGCCCAGTGTCATCATTGCTTGGCCAGTATGTAGCATGCTAGTGCAAAAAGCTTTGACATTCGCCAAAATTGTCCTTTGTTCAATGCAAATTTATAAGCTGCAGAGTGCTGAATGATACAGACCCATTGGACCTGTTGTTAATTTGTTCAAGATATTCTAAATTTTGAAAGCAAATTGGTTAGAAAATACAGGCTACAAAATGAAAATAAATCACTTGAATGTACAAATTTGAGTTCCTGGGACTAATTTCATAACAGAAATTGCAGATGAATGTTTGGTCAATCTCTGACAACAAATTACACCTAGGCAAAGTTGTTTTGACAGCATTTTTCTAATTAAATCAATTCTAAAATTTGAACAAGGAACTTTCACCCTTGGCATTTGTAAATTAAAAGACTCATCAATTAACAGAGATCATTTAACAATTTTCTTCCCTCATTAGACTACAGTAGGTTGAAAACATTTACACCTATTTTGCACAAAGGAAGTGCTTTCAACTACTCAAAGTTTTGAAATAACAAATTAAAAGACCAAAAGAGAGGCTGGAAATTGAGTTTAAAGTTTGGTAAATTAAAGAAAAGTCTACTGTAACAATGGTACCTTTTTCGATTAACTTTGGTGAAAGTGTTATGCAACTGAATAAACAAGGTAATGAATTCCAAAAAATTTGAAAACATCTTTATAAGAATTCAAATGGTTTTATTGAAAGACTGTGCACTATTTGTGCTATTTGAAACACACACATTTTTGATAGCAAGAATATAAACAGCACACACATATTTGATTGCCAGTGTATATACAGCAAACACATTGTCATTGCCAATGTATATACAACACACACATTTGTCATTGCCAGTGTATGTACAGCACACACATTGTCATTGACAGTGTATGTACAGCACAAACATTGTAATTGCCAGTGTATGTACAGCACACACATTGTCATTGCCAGTGTATGTACAGCACACACAATGTCTTTGCCAGTGTATGTACAGCAAACACAATGTCATTGCCAGTGTATGTACAGCACACACATTGTCATTGCCAGTGTATGTACAGCACACACATTGTCATTGCCAGTGTATATACAGCACACATTGTCATTGCCAGTGTATGTACAGCACACACATTGTCATTACCAGTGTATGTACAGCACACACAATGCCATTGCCAGTGTATGTACAGCAAACACAATGTCATTGCCAGTGTATATACAGCACACACATTGTCATTGCCAGTGTATATATAGCACACACATTGTCATTGCCAGTGTATATACAGCATACACATTTTCGATTGCCAGTGTATATACAGCATACATATTGTCATTGCCAGTGTATATACAGCAAACACATTTTTGATTGCCAGTGTATATACAGCATACACATTGTCATTGCCAGTGCATATACAGCATACACATTGTCATTGCCAGTGTATATAAAGCACACACATTGTCATTGCCAGTGTATATACAGCACACACATTGTCATTGCCAGTGTATAGCACACATATTGTCATTGCCAGTGTATATACAGCATACACATTGTCATTGCCAGTGCATATACAGCATACACATTGTCATTGCCAGTGTATATAAAGCACACACATTGTCATTGCCAGTGTATATACAGCACACACATTGTCATTGCCAGTGTATGTACAGCACACACATTGTCATTGCCAGTGTATATATAGCACACACATTGTCATTGCCAGTGTATATACAGCATACACATTGTCATTGCCAGTGTATATACAGCACACACATTGTCATTGCCAGTGTATATATAGCACACACATTGTCATTGCCAGTGTATATACAGCATACACATTTTCGATTGCCAGTGTATATACAGCATACATATTGTCATTGCCAGTGTATATACAGCAAACACATTTTTGATTGCCAGTGTATATACAGCATACACATTGTCATTGCCAGTGCATATACAGCATACACATTGTCATTGCCAGTGTATATAAAGCACACACATTGTCATTGCCAGTGTATATACAGCACACACATTGTCATTGCCAGTGTATAGCACACATATTGTCATTGCCAGTGTATATACAGCATACACATTGTCATTGCCAGTGCATATACAGCATACACATTGTCATTGCCAGTGTATATAAAGCACACACATTGTCATTGCCAGTGTATATACAGCACACACATTGTCATTGCCAGTGTATATACAGCACACACATTTTTGATTGTCAGTGTATATACAGCACACACATTTTGATTGCCAGTGTATATACAGCACACACATTTTTGATTGCCAGTGTATATACAGCATACACATTGTCATTGCCATTGTATATACAGCATACACATTGTCATTGCCAGTGTATATAAAGCACACACATTGTCATTGCCAGTGTATATACAGCATACACATTGTCATTGCCAGTGTATATACAGCACACACATTGTCATTGCCAGTGTATATACAGCACACACATCGTCATTGCCAGTGTATATACAGCACACACATCGTCATTGCCAGTGTATATACAGCACACACATCGTCATTGCCAGTGTAAATACAGCACACACATCGTCATTGCCAGTGTATATACAGCACACACATCGTCATTGCCAGTGTATATACAGCACACACATCGTCATTGCCAGTGTATATACAGCACACACATCGTCATTGCCAGTGTATATACAGCACACACATTTTTGATTGCCAGTGTATATACAGCACACACATTGTCATTGCCAGTGTATATACAGCACACACATTGTCATTGCCAGTGTATATACAGCACACACATTGTCATTGCCAGTGTATATACAACACACACATTGTCATTGCCAGTGTATATACAGCACACACATTTTTGATTGAAAGTGTATCTGTAGCACATATAGTTTGAAAGGCTGGCACCATTGATTCTCATTGATGTCCTTGTTATTTCATTCTCTGATGTTTTTTGTTTTTTGTTTACGTGGCATTTAACTCATAATCAATCTTAACAGTATATTTCTAGATGATTCATAATAAATTTTTCATATACATTTTTTCCGTTTTAGACATGCTACGATGAGTTACAAAGAATTGACTCTTTTGAGGAAAAGTTCAAGATGTTCTTGTTGCTGACTAAACTTATGACAACGGCTTTGGAACTTCTTCGTGGCGGTCAGTCTTTACACTTCACTGCTCTCAGTATCATCAATCGTATCATTGATATCTGCATCGTCCATAAGAACCATGAAATCACTTCAACAGAGTTTCTACAAAGTACGGACTGTATACCTCTTCCACCAGGTGGAGCTGTTGGTCAGGAGGGTGTCAGTCCACAACTTAAAAGCCCAAAACATAAGACATCAAACAGCAGCCCAAAACAACGTGGAGGGTCCACACAGTGTGCCCACCATCACCATGATGATTCCGCCACAAGTGCCAACAGCAGTGCTAATACATTTCAGAGGATTTCCTCTGTTCATTTTAGAAAAAATTTTGGTGGACATTCTGATGGGGGTGGCCACTCCGAAAAGACGGATGACTCAGAAAATACAGACAATAACAATGCAAATTCTTGTGGAACAAGCGTTTTAAAAACCCCACTTGAATTTCTGACAACTTGTGATCCAAGTCAAATATTAAGTGTTCTTCATAATAGTATCACCATGCATAAACGTATCATTGGAACTCGGCAGAAATGTACACCAAGTACTCGTTCACGTTTTTGTACCCATCACTGTTTACAAATCCTAAGTGCCCGGATCCTTGTTGTAATGAGTCATGGACTTCAGGTCCAATACCGAATTGTAGGGGGTGGACATATCAAAACTCTCGTTGAGGCCTTAGACCCAAATCATGATCCGGTAAGTTTATACCCTATTAATCTGGCAATAAGCCCATATTTGATAATAAGCCCATGTCAGAAAATAAGTTGATGCTTCAAAACAGGCCCATGTCAGAAAGTAAGCCCATGCTTGGTAATAAGCCCTTGTCATACAATAAGCCCATGCTTTGTTATAACCCCATGTCATACAATAAGCCCATATTTGGTAATAAGTCCATGTCTTATAATATGTCATTGTCTGGTTATAAGCCCATTTTCGGTAACAACCTCATTATATCTATGTATCGTTGCTCAGTAGAATTTCTAATCAGTTCAATATGCAATATACCCCAATTCACTATGAGTCAACATTTGTGTGCTGGCCCTCAGAACTACAAATGTATTACAGTAAAAGTTTAGTAAAGCAATATATCTCTGACTTAACTTGAACTTAGCATAAGATTTGAGGAAATGTTAAAGTAATCGGAAAATTTAGATTTGTAAGAAGTTCTGACAGTGATGGAAAATCTCAAAAATAGCTCTGTCTAAGGCATCAGCATTCATACAACTGATGTGATAGAAATCAATACAAATTTTAAAAATGGGAAAGCTATGTAAAGGAAAATGTCTTTCTATGATTGTAAAGTAAAAGTTATACAATATTATATTGTGTATGATGAATTAAAAAAGGGAAAAAAATCAATAAAATTCATGTTTTTTCCTATTCTAGCATTTACTGTGCCTGTTGCTACAATCGCTAGCCTCCATCGCCCTTACACCCAGTCACCATCAGGTTCTTAGTGACGCGGACATTGCTGACATGTTGATGCAGCTACTGTTGCCTAGCGACGAGTGGTATTACACCAATCACAGCACCAAGTATGCAAAGTTCGTCAAGTACCATGCCGCTCGTATTCTTGTGTATATGGGACTGTTACACAAATTGGGTGGTCGTGTCGACTTGTTTGACAGAAAGCGTAGGTACTCTCTTCTGGCTATCTGTGACTAGAAATACAACAAAGTTCACTTTAATTAACTTCATAACTATCAGGCATGTAGCTGTCTTTGTCCAAGTATAGATGTATACAAATCTTTGCAAAATAAAGAAAAAAAAATTGCTGTTAACCTAATTTCTCTCCAGTTTTTGGGGTGCTTTGCTCCCTAAATAAACCCTCTCCAGATCTATTTCCTTGGACACTAAACAAAGGACAGTCCACCCTGAGCACCTGCAATTTATTCCTATTACCGTACATATCAAAATCTGACATAATTACAATTCAAGATAACAAAGTAGTTGTTGTGAATCTGTTTATTTCTGTAAAGGCATAAAGGCATAACATTTCATTGTTTGTTTTCATTTATTCAATGTTTTCAATAGTAAATATATTATATATACCAACAAAGAAATATGTACATATATAATCCTTTGTCAATTCACCAATTTTATCTGTTTAAAATGCATTTCATAAAATTCAACATTTTATATACAGTTTAGTTATTATTGTTGCATAATATACATGTACATTACTTAATGATAATACAGTCTTTATTTTGAATAGAGTTACGGTTCTTGGCGGTTAATTTGATCCACCTCACTATTAAGATCACCTTACTATACATTAAGACTACCTTTGTGCAGTTCCCATTTGTTCTTAATGGCGAGGTTTCACTGTATTTATAACTGGTTCTGTTGTACATTGTTTGTCCATGTTACTGTATCGAAGAATTTTTTTTTTTTTTTTTTTTAAACCAAATGTCACAAATCAAGATTAGATGTCCACACATATATGCGAAATTTTTTCTTTTTAAGTGAAAATACATGGTAATGTGTATTTCCCTGAATTTATAAAACTGTAAAATCATTGATTTTTGTAGTGAATTTAATCTTTGTTGATTTTGTGGGTCACTTTGTCCACAAATTTATATGTCTATAAACTTATAGAATTATTGAAAGTAAATTTACCAAGTTCTATTTCTCCACTCTGTTAAAAAAACAGTAATTTTTTGGAAAATCACGAAATATTAGCCCCCTGAAAATATATGGTTCAATACAAGTTTAGAAATTTTGAATTATAAGAAATTGAATGACAGACTTTAATCGTGAAATGAGTACCTAATCATGATAAATATGCTTTCTCTGGAATGTGTCAGTGTCAGATAATGGGCTTGATTGATGTGTCTGATACAGCTGATGTGATAGACACTTTATGGACAAACAGTGTATGAACAAATCATCCATTTTATTGGTGGTATTTGTCTGTGGCCATACACTGGTACCTATATTGCTATAAAATAGCACACATATGCGTGTATTTATTCAATATAAATCAGAAAAGTGTTTTTGGCTTTGTTAAAAACATTGTCTCATGGGGACATTGGAGCAGTAGCAATACAAAGGCAGAAAATTTGTTTTGTTTAATATTTTTTTAAGGCTGAATGGCCATGAATTAATAGAATTCAATTAGAGACACCTCAGCTGATACTGTACTGCCTCCCTCCAAATAAAAGTCAATATATACAGGGGAAAGGGAGTGTAATTTTTCCCAGGAGAAGAAATCAACAAGCTGATTCTTTCACTCCATGTAGTGGGAAAATGAGAACGAGAATGAGAGTGGATCTAGTAATGGATTTATCTGTCACCTTTGTTTTTTTTTTTTTTTTACTTTTTCTTTGTTTTCTCTTTCAGCACAGTGAGAATTACATGGGGTGGGAGTTGCACACTGGGTGTCACTTTCTCCTATTTCTACGTTATAGTTAATCAGAGATGCATTACTGGCTGCATAGATTTTTTGTAATAATTGTGACTAATAACCATTTCATGTTACAGTTAATCAGAGATGCATTACTGGCTGTATAAATTTTTTGTGATAATTGTGACTAATAAGCATTTCTAAGTTACAGTTAATCAGAGATACATTACTGGCTGTATAGGTTTTTTGTGATAATTGTGACTAATAATCATTTCTAAGTTACAAAGTTTATTTGATATCATGTAATTTTGCTATTTGCTACAAAGTTTGTTTTATATCATGTAATTTTGCTATTTGCTACACTTTATTCCAGCTTTCAAAGAACTGTCAACCAATGCCTATTTACAAGTGCACTCCCCAGAGGATAGTTTTATAGAACTGATGGCTATGGGACAGGTCGTCATGTGGAATGATAACCAACATCTACAGGCCGCTTCTCTGGAGGGTTTGGTGGCCAAACTTATACAGGTAAACTCTCGTTAGGACTTGGTGGCCAAACTTATACAGGTTAACTCTCGTTAGGACTTGGTGGCCAAACTTATACAGGTAAACTGTCTTTAGGACTTGGTGGCCAAATTTATACAGGTAAACTCTTGTTAGGACTTGGTGGCCAAACTTATACAGGTAAACTGTCTTTAGGACTTGGTGGCCAAACTTCTACAGGTCAACTCTTGTTAGGACTTGGTGGCCAAACTTATACAGGTAAACTGTCTTTAGGACTTGGTGGCCAAACTTATACAGGTAAACTCTCTTTAGGACTTGGTGGCCAAACTTATACAGGTAAACTCTCGTTAGGACTTGGTGGCCAAACTTATACAGGTAAACTCTCGTTAGGACTTGGTGGCCAAACTTATACAGGTAAACTCTTGTTAGGACTTGGTGGCCAAACTTATACAGGTAAACTCTTGTTAGGACTTGGTGGCCAAACTTATACAGGTAAACTGTCTTTAGGACTTGGTGGCCAAACTTCTACAGGTAAACTGTCTTTAGGACTTGGTGGCCAAACTTATACAGGTAAACTCTCTATACGACTTGGTGGTCAAACTTATACATGTAAACGCCAAATTACTTTCTACAGTGAAATCTCTTAAGTGCTGTATATCCACACTATACATATGAAAAATTCTCGGTGGCTAAATGATCATTTTTGGTTCATCTGTACACCAGTAAAAGTAAGTACTTTTGAGGGCTTAGTAAGTGCTTAATCTTGAAAAAGTAACCATTTTTGAAGCTTTAGTTTTTCAACCTGTCATTTTAAAATATCTTGATCATCCCTTTTTTTTGTTCTTTGGCAAATCTGTAAAGGAGCTTAATGGAACAGCAAGGCTAATGTTAAATTTTTCATGGTATGACAGAAACTTAAATCTCTAGGGTTCAGTGAGGCCAAGCTTATATCTATAATTGGCAACATCTTTGATAGTTACTGGTCAGCCTCATACATATTGTTGCTGCGGCCTGGTCAGCTACATCAGGCAAAATCTCTCAAAGTCTTGGTTTGACAAACAACTATCAATCCATTTATCTTGATTAGTCATGAAGTTCTCTGAAATCTTGATTCACTATTAGTTTTTGATGTTATTCATTCATTTCAGTGTTGATTAGTGATTTCTAACATATTCCTATATTTGACTTGAATTAAATTTAAATCTAAGGTTTTATGAAATGTTCAGCAATAAGTTAGTTACTTGAAAGTATTGTTCTCCTCAATCTTATATAGAACAAGAAAGATAACTCTTGTTCACAAACTTGTTTTTGTTTGTTTTCAAGACAAAGTTAGAACTTTCTTTATTTGTTTTTTTTTCCCAATTTTTTTATTGGTATTTTTATCTTGAAATCGATTTTATCATATAATTGTGACAGGTTAGTCACATCATTTTCAGTATGAATGTTTTTTTTAAAAAATCTTTTTGGCATAATTTATTTTGCTGAATTGTGAATGTACTACATATACCTGTGTAACATTGTGTTGTTTGTACTAATTTTCACTTTATATACATTTCAATACTGATCTGCTTAAAGTATGGAAATAGAGAATTAATTTTTTTTTGAAGATTTTTGTTTAATTTAAATCCTGGGCTTATCAAGTGTATCAGATTATGAAATCTGTTCTGATTGAATTCAACATTTAAAGATAATTGTATAATGGTGAGAAGGTTATCAGTAGTTATACTTACATCATTCAGGTCACTCTGTTTGTATGGAATTCTCCGGTTATATCTCAGAATTAATGATTGAAGGTCAAAATTGTTTTAAAATCTATTAAAATGTAAAACGAGAAAGTGAAAGAGAAAAAATCAAAGAGAAAACATAAACAAACAGGAAAACAAAAAACAAAAAATAATAACCAGAAGCAAAAAAAGACCCTGGCACAAATTATTTTGAAGGTATTGTGTAAATATCTGAAGAAGGTTAATTACCTGATTATTAATACTTGTATCTCTGCTTCAGTTTTCCTTTCCCTGGTTGGTATATATAAATTGTTATAATGAATCTTGTCCTAATTTGAGAATGTTATTCCATATCACATGTGAATGTCATCCATTGGATAGAAAGTTTTATCCTTCCTGAACACGTGGCCATATTTTATCTTGAAAATTTTCAAGGGTGTCTGTAGAAATCTTTCTCTTGGTCATATTTTGATTTCTTTTCATTTGTTTTTAGTTCTTGAATCAAGAATTTGCTGACGTATGTGATGTTTAGTTCAGCTGTCAAAAAAACAAAACAAAATTTATATAGAACGCTGTTTTCTCTAAAATTTGGCCTGATGTGATGTATGCATTTGTTATCATAATTGTAGCTATTGTCTATTTCTGTTTCAGGAAGCAATGAACGATGAAAATGAGGGGGATGGAGAAATCTATGATCTCACTCTCTCCTCCTCCATACAAAGTATTTGTGGTCTGATGGATAATCAATGTAGTACAATGCTGACGCCATTCACATCTCCGACCTGTTCCTTACAATTCCTCGCAGAGACAGATAGTAAACCGTTCAGAGAACTTTTACTTATGGGTCTTCCGATGCTTGTACATCCGGTTATAATTTTACGTCTTCTTGCTCATAAGGTTTTTGGAAATATGATACGGAGAAAGTCATTATTTGCAGAGACAAAATTAAAACCACCACCTCCAGAAAATCTAGAACAGTCCGATATGTGTCCACCTCGTAGCAATTCAGAAGGAGCCAAATTTCACGATATTAAACGGGAAGTGAATCGCAGAAGGCGATCTCATCACCCGGTCATTACAAAATCTTCATCCGAGGAACTAGATTCTCCAGCAATATTAAATAGTCCTGTGGAGCGAGAATTTGTCAAACAAAATGGCATTCAAACCAAAAATGGCACAACTCAGCGAGCACTTCGTGCCATTGGGACAAGTCTGGCTAACCCTTTTGATTCAAATGTCTCCAAGCAACAACAACAACAACAACCTCAACAGCAACAACAACAACAACAACAACAGCAACAACAACAACAGCAGCAGCAACAACAACAACAACAAAATCAGCAGACAACAGACAGCCACCAGATTAATAATACAGTGAGTAGTTCTGACTCCTCTGGAGATGTGAAATCATCTGCGTCCAAATCAAGACTGTTTCATTGGCCAAGTAAAAAGCGGTTGTCAAAATCGCAAAGCAATGTGTCTTCAAAGGATAGCCAGGATATCAACACTGGAAGTTTGGACAAAGCTGATTCAAAATCTTCAGTAACATCATCAGAAAATGATATTGACATTCTGGCTTTTCAAAGAGAGCTTATAAACCTTCCAACGTTTGTAATGGACACACCAGCAACAGACGTATCTCCTATGTTCTCAAGATGTAGTTCTGTGCCAGAAAATTTAGCATCAAGAATGAGTAACAATGATTCTACTACTCCAGAAATGTCTACATATGGTTCAGACCATCTTCATTTTGTGCAAAGACGAGGGAAAGGCGAAGATTTTGGTTCCGATCAAGCTTTAAGTAATTTGCCTAAATCACCGTCAAAGGTTACCATAACAACCACTGACTTTACCCAGCCACCGCACCAGTGTGTGGGAGCTTTAACCTTGACACTTCCTACTCAGTCGTCCATTGATGATGTCGAGGAAAATATTGCCAATATCACTGTGCGCTTTGAAGCTCCCGCATCACCCATTTCTAGTTCAAGTCAGAGCCCACAAGCATTTGATTTTCCTTATCCCTTTGAACATTTGAAACTCACGGCAAATCATGTTTTGATAAATGAAAAGTCATCAGCAAATCAGGTTGTACCAACTACATCTAATTTTCTCATTCCTTCACCAACATCTGCTGCATCACCAACAGTTACCACCGCTTCTACTGCATCACCATGGTCACCGTCATGTATGTCACAATCATCTATTACAACCAACCTTCCACATTCGGAAATTCCAGGGGCCCACCGAGGGGTATTACGGGTAGTAGAGACTTGGATACGAGTATGTAGCAATGACCTTGACTGCAGTAGCCTCATTGTGCATGAGATGCGTGACTTTCTCAGGAAAATGTCTGTTCTCGGACATGAATATAAAGCCTGGTGCCAGAAAATTGGAGGATTACTCCATTTAGAGGCGAGTATAAATTCACGAAAAAGAGTATCACTGATTAGTCTCCAAGATCTCTGGTAACTAATCTGATCTATCATTGAGCAGCTCAGAAAATGTATACGTATGTCATTTTGATGGTGGGGCCATTTTTTAGGAAAGTCGTTGAAAGAATGTAGATATTCAACGTTGATATATATAGGGTATGTATTTTCCATTGAAGTCATAAAAACGCTTAAAAATTTATATATTTTTGTATTCAAGGAATCAATTTTTTGAAATTTTGGTTTATTTAAATTCCCTCCTCAAAATTTAAACAAAAGGGACCCCTTCAAATTAATAACATACACAGTATTGTTTATATGTACACTGATTGTCTAAAGTATCTGATAATTAATTTCTAGGAAAAAAACGTGATGAAACAAAGATCTCTGAATGCTGATGACCCAGATAATGTGAATGCCCAATACAAAAAGGTAAGATTTTTTTATTAAATCTTTAGATTCATGATTTGTTTGAAGAATCAGGATATTTTATTGTTGTAAGAGGTTAATAAGAGGAAGGGAGATAACTCTGTCAGTTTTGAAGACTGACAAAAAAAACAAGGTCTATACCCATGGAGGATCATGAAAAACTTTGTATTTTTATGCTCCCCAATCCCATTGTTATCAGCAATGACTTCGTTTTTTTTTCCATAAATTTCAAACTGTTACATGATCTTTGGATCAATGTGGCTTCATTGATAGTGGAACCCTCTTTATAAAGGACACCTAGCTATAGTGGTACCCTCTTTATAAAGGACACCTAGCTATAGTGGTACCCTCTTTATAAAGGACACTTTACTATAGTGGTGTCCACTATATAAAGGACACCTAGCTATAGTGGTACCCTCTTTATAAAGGACACCTAGCTATAGTGGTACCCTCTTTATAAAGGACACTTTACTATAGTGGTGTCCACTATATAAAGGACACCTAGCTATAGTGGTACCCTCTTTATAAAGGACACCTAGCTATAGTGGTACCCTCTTTATAAAGGACACTTTACTATAGTGGTGTCCACTATATAAAGGACACCTAGCTATAGTGGTACCCTCTGTATAAAGAACACATACCTATAGTGGTACCCTCTGTATAAAGGAGACATACCTATAGTGGTACCCTCTGTATAAAGGAGACATACCTAAAGTGGTGCCCTCTATATAAAGGACACTTTACTAAAGTGGTATCCACTATATAAAGGACACCTAGCAATAGTGGTACCCTCTGTATAAAGGACACCTAGCTATAGTGGTACCCTCTTTATAAAGGACACTTTACTATAGTGGTGTCCACTATATAAAGGACACCTAGCTATAGTGGTACCCTCTGTATAAAGGACACCTAGCTATAGTGGTACCCTCTTTATAAAGGAGACATACCTATAGTGGTACCCTCTGTATAAAGGAGACATACCTAAAGTGGTGCCCTCTATATAAAGGACACTTTACTACAGTGGTATCCACTATATAAAGGACACCTAGCTATAGTGGTACCCTCTGTATAAAGGACACCTAGCTATAGTGGTACCCTCTTTATAAAGGAGACATACCTATAGTGGTACCCTCTGTATAAAGGAGACATACCTAAAGTGATGCCCTCTATATAAAGGACACTTTACTAAAGTGGTATCCACTATATAAAGGACACCTAGTAATAGTGGTACCCTCTGTATAAAGGACACCTAGCTATAGTGATACCCTCTGTATAAAGGACACCTACCTTTAGTGGTACCCACTTTATAAAGGACTCTTTACTATAGTGGTATCCCCTATATTAAGGACACCTAGCTATAGTGGTACCTTCTGTATAAAGGACACCTACCTTTAGTGGTACCCTCTGTATAAAGGACACACACCTATAGTGGTGCCCTATGTATAAAGGACACCTAGCTATAGTGGTACCCTCTGTATAAAGGACACTTAGCTATAGTGGTACCCTCTGTATAAAGGACACCTACCTTTAGTGGTACCCTTTGTATAAAGGACACCTAGCTATAGTGGTACCCACTGTATAAAGGACACCTAGCTAGAGTGGTACCCTCTGTTTAAAGGACACCTAGCTATAGTGGTGCCCTCTATATAAAGGACACCTAGCTATAGTGGTACCCTCTATATAAAGGACACCTAGCTATAGTGGTGCCCTCTGTATAAAGGACACCTAGCTATAGTGGTGTCCTCTGTATAAAGGACACCTAGCTATAGTGGTGCCCTCTGTATAAAGGACACCTAGCTATAGTTGTACCCACTGTATAAAGAACACATATACCATCACCTTTCTTTGTTTTATTTGAAATCAATTAGTGTTTTATTCCACACTGTAGTATAATTATTTACTTTTGTAAAAGTTTTCTGACAATTATATAGACACCTGTATATCATACAAAGATCATTGTAAAATGTAAGAAAAATCTTTCCTTAAGAGTTCATTAAAAGATTTTTAAGAGCAGTTAGTCTCTGATGAGGAAGATCAGTTAAAAACCCCTTTCTGTTTAAACGTAGATATGTACTACAATAATTGATGTTGAATTTTCACAGTTTGCTGTGTTTGTTCATGAATAGTCAGGATTATTAGGCAGGATCACCTAGTTATGGTTACCTCACTGAACAACATATTGGAGGCCCATCACAGGTCATTAAGAGCAAGTGTTGTGAAGTGCCTTGTCCATTGACACAATCACAACAGCAGACTGGTCAGCTTTCTGAAAAAACAAAAACTACCATAGTTAGGATGCAATAACTTATCATACATCTCGGGTGTTCCCTCAAGGTTGTGTAGGCCATAACACTCTTCCTCTTGAACGATCAGGGTCCAAGTGTACCATATATGTGGGACACAATATATCATGTACGTATATGTGTATAAATTGTTGTAATTCAGATCAAACATTCATTGTAGGTAATCCAAAAAGTACACAAACATTCACCTCTGTTCAGTGCATAAGTTATTATAGGAATTTGTAGTAGCAAAACGATACTGTATATATCTGGCAGAACAGTCCCAGGATTGTTCATAAGGCAGGCACCTGCGTAAATAAATTTGTGTTCATAAACAAAAATACAACCAATTGTCTTATAATAAACCCACCCCTTGATTGTTGTATAATTTGGATGTGTTGGCCCTTGTAGGACAAATGTGGTATAATTTTCAATAGATCTGCGGTGTGTGTGGCAGTGTTCATTCCAATCCTTAGAGGTTGCATATTTAAATCCCCATGAAGATAGTGCGGAAGGTTTTGAATAATCTCAGACAGGAAATGGAATATTTTTATGGCAAATATAGGATTAAGTAAAGATTGTTTATAGGTCTTGACAAAATTGGCCTCATTAGGGAAGTGGGCTTTTTATACAGATTGAAAAATGTTTCAAATATGCCTGTAATTTTAGTGATGGTCTGTAGAACTGAGTGCTATAAAGTGAAGGTTTACAAAATAAAAAAAACATTATATGTATTTGAAAAGTTTGGCACTGCTATATTGGAAATAAATTTGAAGTGTTGTAGGATAAGCCAAATTTTTTTTTTATATACTTAGAAATATGAGATAAAAATTTAGAAAACTTCATTTTTATCATGCTCAGCAAAAGACAACATTCAGAATATTCCAAACATATTTTATTTTTGTTACTTTTTGTATATTTCTTATACAATAAGCCAGACATTGGCCAAAATATTACTCAAAGTCATGAGGATAGGTTATTAGAGCAATTCTACCTCTACTTATTGAATACAGAACCATGTTTTTCACACAATAAACCCAGGGATTAACCAATATATTACTTATTACTAAAAGTTATGTGTTATTGGGAATATAACATTGGTTCATAATTTTATTGTACAGCACTATGTATATCAGCAGCCATGTGCTAATTGGCATATATATCTGATTTGTAGGAAGGAGATTTTAACATAAGCTTGAATGTATTATACAGGGATATTTATAGTGACAGTAGTACAATGTATTATACAGGGATATTTATAGTGATGAGTACAATGTATTATACAGGGATATTTATAGTGATGAGTACAATGTATTATACAGGGATATTTATAGTGATGAGACAATGTATTATACAGGGATATTTATAGTGATGAGTACAATGTATTATACAGGGATATTTATAGTGATGAGTACAATGTATTATACAGGGATATTTATAGTGATGAGTACAATGTATTATACAGGGATATTTATAGTGATGAGTACAATGTATTATACATGGATATTTATAGTGCTGAGTACAATGTATTATACAGGGATATTTATAGTGATGAGTACAATGTATTATACAGGGATATTTATAGTGATGAGTACAATGTGTTATACAGGGATATTTATAGTGATGAGACAATGTGTTATACAGGGATATTTATAGTGATGAGTACAATGTATTATACATGGATATTTATAGTGATGAGTACAATGTATTATACAGGGATATTTATAGTGATGAGTACAATGTATAATACATGGATATTTATAGTGATGAGTACAATGTATTATACAGGGATATTTATAGTGATGAGTACAATGTATTATACAGGGATATTTATAGTGATGAGTACAATGTATTATACAGGGATATTTATAGTGATGAGTACAATGTATTATACATGGATATTTATAGTGATGAGTACAATGTATTATACAGGGATATTTATAGTGATGAGTACAATGTATTATACAGGGATATTTATAGTGATGAGACAATGTGTTATACAGGGATATTTATAGTGATGAGACAATGTATTATACAGGGATATTTATAGTGATGAGTACAATGTATTATACAGGGATATTTATAGTGATGAGTACAATGTATTATACAGGGATATTTATAGTGATGTGTACAATGTATTATACAGGGATATTTATAGTGATGAGTACAATGTATTATACAGGGATATTTATAGTGATGAGTACAATGTATTATACAGGGATATTTATAGTGATGAGTACAATGTATTATACATGGATATTTATAGTGATGAGTACAATGTATTATACAGGGATATTTATAGTGATGAGTACAATGTATTATACAGGGATATTTATAGTGATGAGACAATGTATTATACAGGGATATTTATAGTGATGAGTACAATGTATTATACAGGGATATTTATAGTGATGAGACAATGTATTATACAGGGATATTTATAGTGATGAGTACAATGTATTATACAGGGATATTTATAGTGATGAGTACAATGTATTATACAGGGATATTTATAGTGATGAGTACAATGTATTATACAGGGATATTTATAGTGATGAGTACAATGTATTATACAGGGATATTTATAGTGATGAGTACAATGTATTATACAGGGATATTTATAGTGATGAGTACAATGTATTATACAGGGTGTTTAAAGTGATGAGAACAATGTATTATACCGGGATATTTATAGTGATGAGTACAATGTATTATACAGGG